CACTGCTCATCTACTGTAACATTACTCACTTCTTGTGCGTGGTCTGAAAGTGTGCAGTCATTCTGGAATAACTCTTTTCTTTCTGTTCCTCTCTGGTAGCTGAGGTGACAGTGAGATCTCCAAAGAGGTCAACTAGCCAAGTTAAGCGGGCAATTCCGCAGAAAGACGGGAAGCCTGATCGCTCTTCATCCAAGGCACCGCCTACAGGAATAAGAATGGAAGTGTTTGAGAAGCGGGAAAGGATTCCCTCACCCTAATCAGCTACATGGAGTCCATCAAGGGGAAGCTATGAGGCTGGCCAGGTCAAGGGAGCCTCACCGTTAGTATCCCAGTGAATCAAATGGGTCTACTGAAAAGGATTAGTGGGTGAGCTACTCAACAGAATATGCTGCTCCCTTTCTGCAGTTGTTAAAGTCTGAATTCTATCAAACCTTTCAAGCCTTTCCTGTTCTCCTCAAATACTGGCAACTAAGGAAAGTCTGAATTCTATCAAACCTTTCAAGCCTTTCCTGTTTCCTTAGTTGCCAGTATTTGAGGGGAACTATAAAATAGGTACCAGGAGCACCTTAGGTTTCTGCAATATTGACCAGCGGCCCAGGAACTTGGTACAGGTTGCACCTCTAAAAACTGGCACACTCTGATCCAGCAGGACCACGGATCCTCTTGGACCACAGAGCCTGGGAACCTAATGGCAGGAGGGCCAGCAGCCCAGCCAAGGGCAGCGGGGCCAGAGACCCACAGCAATTCTAGGACCAGACTGGAGAACCCTGGCAACATGTGACAATATGGGGGTGGGCACTGGAGAAGCCAGGCTGCCCGGGGCAGCGTGGAGATGGAGAAACTTGGCTGTCCACAGCAGTGCGGGGTTAGGAGACTGTGGCAGTGCAGGGCTGGAGAACTCTGGCTGCCCATCGTAGCCTGAGGAGAGGCATTGGCAGCAGAGTGGAAAGCCCAGCTTGGGGAAGGGTTAGAGGGGGCCAGAGGCAGGGGGATGACTGGTTTGGGGCTGGTGGCAGGGAACCCCTCCCCTGGTCCAGCAAATTCTTTTGTTCAGGACCAGTCAAGTCCCAATAGTGCTGGACCAGGGAGGACCAACCTGAAGAGGGTTCTACTGGGACCAGAGGGAAGTTTGAAGCTGCCTGTTTGTCTCCCTTTTCCATCCTGAGCTAGCTTGCCTTGAGCTGAGGGCTCTGGGAGCCAAACAGAGGGCAGCTAAGAGCACAGCTCGGGAAAGGCCACCTGCCCAGTTGGCTGTTACTGCTGGATGGCAATTACTTTCCCATGCCAGGTCCCCAGCTGAAGGTAGAGCAGGAGAGAGACTAAGATACAGTGAATGTGCAGGAAAAACCAGGGGATATGTTGGAGAGCACCAGGATATGGGTTCACACTGGGGACACACCAAGGGATGGGGAAATGAAGCCTTTAATCTCTCCCACCTCTGTTTAGAAGACAAAAAACAGGGGAGGAGCCTGGAGGTCCCCAGTGGAGAGTGGGCGATTCTCAGGAGCTTTTCATCCTCTCTGGAGACCAGATGTGGATGAAAGGGCTATGGGGACCTCCACAGGTCCCTGGGATCCCATGAAAAGGGTGCAGGAGATACCTGCAAAGATACTAGAAGCGATAAAGGTTTCTTGTCCTCCGTTTGAAGGCCTCTCCGATAAGAATCTATACCTGGGGCTATGGTACATGGGTTCTGACTCCATGACTCAAGCTACAACAGAACAAGCTCTCACTCAAGGGAGTGAATGATGTCTGAAGTGACTGGTATCTTGGCAGGAAGGGCAGCCCGAGTTACTTTAGCAACCGACCTGTGAAATGTAATGTTCCCTTCACAAGCTCCTTTCCAGCCACCTCCTTTTTCAGCTGCTTGTACTCTTCTGTCAAAAGTTCAATGTGCTCCACATGGAGGATTTTACCTGTCATTGAGAAAACGAAGATCAAATGGGATTACCAAAAACTTTCTGCATGAATCCAAATCTACTTCTGGGCAGCTAACTTTTTAACAATCAATCATTAGTGCGAGCACACTTAAAACAGCTTTACCCATGGCTGGCAGAACGGTGCCAAGACAAACCACCACACATTGCGCTAGGGATCCAATTCTGGTTCATTGTTCTCAGGGGGCAACACATACACCGTCCTCAGTAACAGCAACCTTAGCAAACAACAGCACCATTTTAGATATTGACTAACAGGCATCAACTGACTGAACCAACAGCATTACAGTGCCTTGGAAGTTTCAAAATGAAACTTGGGTGACGTCCCAACCCTCTTTCTCCTAGCACTCCTAACTTCTCTCCTTGCCCAGGAGACTCTTGATTTGTACTTCCGTAGTCCTGAGGAGTCCTAGTCATGGACCACGACTCGACTGTGGTAGGAACTATATAAACAAAGACAGTCCAGTCTCAAAGGATGGTATTTGCAGCCAGGATATGGTAACCTTAGTCTCATTCAGAAGCACCTCATTCTACTCCAAGGCAATCAATATAGCCTTACGGCAGAACTAGTGCTTACTGGGACTAAAAGGGTGTGTCTACACAGAAAAGTTATTTTGGAATAAAGGCTGTTATTCCAAAATAACTATGCGAGCATCTACACAACAATTCCACTTCAAAATAATTTCAAAATAACGGATGGCTTATTCCGATTTCTGTAACCTCATTTTATGAAGAACAACACCTATTCCGAAATAGCTATTTTGGAATAGGGGCTGTGTAAACACTCCAATTCTGCTATTTTGAAATATCCTCTCACCAGGGCCATTCTAAGTTATTTTTCCTAGGGCTCTAAATCAAGATAGCATGTCTACATTAGGGAAGCCTGCTTTGGATTAATTTTGAGGCTTCCCTGCAGTGTAGATGTGCTATTTTGAAATAAGATATTTAGGAATAATTATTCCGGAGTAGCTTATTCCGAAATAACTGTGCAGTATAGACATAGCCAAAGGGTACAAATTGTGCTTACTTGGGGACCCATATGGTCCAGACCTCAGCAATTAGCGAAACTCATCTAGTAGCTAGTTAGGTGTGACTGTCTCAGTTCCCGTCTTTTAGTACTAATGTTGATGAATGAAGATATAAGAGGAGGTCAGCGAGCAGTGACACACACTGTACCCTATATGAGTAGCTATGGTCTGGACCTGCCTGGCACCGTGCTCCTTCTTTTCAGCAAAATGCCAGAGGGATGCAATGTAGGAGGTCCACAATGCCCCTTCTTATAGGCTCTGCTGTACTTCCACAATCTGACCCTTAGCATTTTAGAGATGGGACTGTTTTGCATACAGATCTCCCCTGTAGACCCTCTTTTCTCCTTTTTAACAAAGGTGCCCCTACAGCCCCAATACACATGAACACACAAACAGACCTACGTCATGCAAACCACTGTCTAAAGGTTTTTTTGTTTTGTTTTATTTCCAGAGGCAGGAGACAAGGTCTACGGTTACAGACAGGGTTGGGTGGTTGCTCTTCAAGCATTTTATTAACACTCTGATGGATCTTTCTAGCTAACTACGTTCTCCAGGCTACTACCTGCAGGGATTGTGATCACGGCAATTACTAATACAAGCGCACCTGTCGCAACCGTCATACTGTCCTCCGCATTTGTCTGTTAATTCACCAGCTGCATGCTTTCTACACTGAGCCTGTCAATCGCAGTTGGTGCAAAACAAATCAGATTAAAAACAGTCGTGATTAATCACAGTTTTAATCACGCTATTACACAATACTAAAATACTATTACTGTTTAACTCTGTGATTAAAACTGCAATTAATCACAGCTATTTTTAATCTCTCAATTAATTGTGATTTTTTAAAAAACTGTTTGACAGCCTTAGTCTAAGTCTTAGATGGGGGAAGGGGGTGTCTCTGGACAAAGTATAAAGTGGCCCTGAACCTTGTTTGGGATTCTTAGTTACTATCATAACCAGGGGCGGCCCGTGAGCCTAGGCAAACTAGAGAGTTGCCTAGGGTGCTGCCGGCCCGGGCGCCTGATGATGATGTCACGGGGCTCCAGGGTGCCCCGTGATTACATCACAGCCATTGACAGCCATGCATGTGGGGGCGCTGATCGTGCCTTCCGCCTGGGGCGCCAGATGCTGCAGCCAGCCTCGGACCATTCCTGATCATAACAGATGTAATCTGAATTCTTTGTAAAAAGCTAGTTATACCTTTGGGCCTTTAAGGATCCTCACCTTTCTGCTCAGCCATCTCACAGAGCTCCCGTGCTCTGCTGGCAGACAGTGCCATAGGGTACTCAACAAGGACATGTTTCCCAGCCTCCAAGAACATCCTGGAAGGGGAGAGAAATAAGTCTTCAAAAGAGTCTGCCTTATTCACAGCCAACCCCATCTCTAAAGATGTGGAAACAGCATGAATGAATGTGTTGAGAACTGGGGCAAGAACAGGCTTTTTCTTAGGGTACGTCTACACTGTGATCAGATATCTGCGGCTGGCCCATGCCAGCTGACGTGGTCTAAGGAACTGTTCAATGGTGGTATAGACGTTTGGACTTGGGCTTCAACCAACGTTCTGGGACCCTCCTACTTTGCAGTAGGGATGTGAATGGTTAATTGGTATGCCTTACCGAGTGATGCTTAGCTGTTATGGTGAACTGGTGGAGGCTGGAGCAGCACCCCTGCCACTATGGGCAGGGGGCTGCTCCAGCCTGGTGGGGCCTGCTGTGGATGCAGGTCGCAGAGGAGGACGGACGGGGGGATGCGAGCCCAAGCTGGTTAAGTCACATACTTAACAGAGCTGGATTCTACTCCTGCCTCTGCCGTGTAATTCCTTCATGACCTTGAAGCACAGAGAGATTAAGTGACTTCCCCGAGTCCAAATAAGGAAGATATTATCCCATCTCACAAGATTATTTTGGTGTGTAATTAATTCATGTTTGGAAAGCTCTGAGATCTTTAAGCAGGTGATACAGAAATACAGGTTACTAAGAAGATGGAATCAATGAGAGCAATAGATACCAGTTGGAGGGGAGGAGAGGAACTGAAGGAAGTGGGATTTTCTCAATCCAGTTCGTTTCCTCTGAATACATGTAAATCCGACAGTACTGCTATATGCTTGTAGCAGAGAGCCGTGAACTTTACAGCCACATTTACTCTGAGGAGACGGGGATTATTTGCTAGCAAAGGCGAACGTCTGACACTGCTTCATTCTTTGATACAGCATGTTCCATTGCATGGAAGTGCCTACTGTAAGGAAGTAGCAAGCAGAGAAGCGGGAAAGAGAGACATATACCTGACATTCTCCTCATGGCTTTTGTTGTCAGTGCTGATGATGGCCGCATGGATCTCTTTGTTTTCCAGAGCATCTTGCAGGCTAATCTGCTTGACCTCATTAACATTACCCAGGGTTCTTCTAGTTGTTTAACAGAAAGAAATAGAAGTCAACACATAACAACTGCAACCCACTCTCGCCAATTATTACTGGAGCTACAGATGTTAAGTATCAAGTAAATGACTAATCATGTATTCAATACAACGTTCATCAAGTACACACGGTTAGTCAATAAGGGGCCGCTGTGGCTCTGCAGTTCAAATGTAGTAGGGGCCAGGTGTGCAGGCAGCCTGGCTCCTACATTTAAATTGCAGAGCCACAATGGGGATTGGTTTGGGACCTGGTGCAAGCTGGGACTGAAACAGACCCGGCTTGTGCTGGGTCCAAACCACTGCGGCTCTGCCTTTTAAATACAGTAAGAGCCCCTGGGAGCTCCCCAACAGTCCCAGCTGGTGCTAGGTCCCATGCTGCACATCTGCCTTTTAAATGTAATAAGAGCTGGGCTGCTCTTACTACATTTAAAAGGCAAAGCCATAATGCCACAGTGCTGCTGTACCTCTGTCTTCCCTGCCTCGCTTCCCACCACACTGTGGAGAACTAGCCTTTAAAGCTGGCTCTCCCCAGCACTGGCTCTTGCTTCTCCCCAACCCCTTGCTGTCTTCTTTAGCAGAGGCAGCAAGGGAGGGGGAAAACACGAGTAGTCGACTCAACTACCGATAAGTCTAAGCGTAGGTTTATTGGGTAGTTGACTGTTCAACTACTCTTTTACATCTCTAATTGGAGCTTTGGTCTTAGACCAAGATCCCATTGTGTTAGGTGCTATACAAACACACGACAAAGGGATAGTTGCTGTCCCAAACAGCGTGCGCACAAGACAAGAGACAACAGATAAGGGAACAAAAGAAAGCCATCAGACAATACTGGTCAGCATGAAGGACAGCGGTCACAGAATACCAGTGGCCTAATCATTGTAGGCATCATGGCAAAGGAGAGTGTTAAGAAAGGATCTGAAGGAGAGATGAGAAGGTTGTTTACAAGGATCACCTCCAAAGTACAAGGGAAGAGGGAGAGCAGTGGAGAAAAAGCACATAGATGCTTGTTTGAAAATGTAACAGATGGGTGGTGAACACCAGCATCATTGCCAGAAAAGACAAGTCAACATCTTGATAATGTGAGCAAGATGATAGGTAGAATGAGAATAGGCCAAGAGGGTAGGCTTGAAATTAAAGATCAGTCATTTGTGCTTGATGCACTATAGAAGGGGATGCTAGGGAAGGACACGAAAGGAAGGATGACATGTTCAGAGAGACAAGCTAGGAGAATTATCTCTGTAGTAACATTTTGAATTATATGTTAAATGGGCACAGTTCCAGTGGACGTGGTGGAAGCCCTACTACTGAATGACCCAAGCAATAGATTGAACACTAGAAAAGACACCCTAGGAATAAGCGTGTATGGGGCAGGGAGATGTAATGGATCTTTCTGGTCTCAGAGCTGATTAAATATAGCTAGAAAATACCTCCACAGCCTGAGATTCCCATATGCTCCACGTAACTATTTTAACCATTATGTTTTGTTGCAATTGTGCAGAAAGCCCAATAGGAAAGCTCTGAGATAGCAGCACTGTTGTTGATTTGCATAAGGCTCAGCCACATGGCAGCCGCTCAAGATAAATGGTGTTGCTGCCTAAAGATAACTTTATTGTACAGCTTGCATTATAATTTGCTCTTCATATTCCACATCTGGTTTCAAAGACACATTTTGCCACAAAGACACAATCCCAGAGTTCTACAGAGGAATTACAGTAAACTTCCGATAATCCGGCACCTTAAGGACCCAGGGGGTGCCGGATTATCAGATATGCCGGACTATCAGAAGGGGGGGGCTATGAGGGGTCTGGAATGGGATGCCACCCCAGCCCCCTCATAGCCCCCCCTTACGATAGTCTGGCTCTGCCCCAGGCGTCCCTGATTCAGCCGCTGCTGGTCAGTTTCAGCAGCAGCTGAATGGGGGATGCCTGCAATAGAGCAGCTGGGGTGCTGCTAGTCAGGCTCTGCCCCAGGAGTCCCTGATTCAGCCGCTGCTGGTCAGTTTCAGCAGCAGCTGAATGGGGGAAGCCTGTCTGGCTGCCCCAGCACTTCCGGGTTCCTGATGGTGCCGGACCATCAGGAGTCCTGGAGCATTGGATGCCGGACTAATGGAGTTTTACTGTACTTGCAAACCTTGGCTCATCTGTGCAGCCACAGTAGAGTTCAGTCATTTGGGTCTATTTTGAGTCTCCTTTAAAGGCCTGATCTTACACCACTCTGTGCTCCTTCAGCTTTCCCTGAGCTAAATGGGAACAGAGGGTGCACAGCACCTCATTAGAGACACTCCACATCTCTCAAGTCAGAGTTCTGGCTCCCGTGGCACGATCTCATTCTCGTGCTTTGCAAAGCTTCCTGCAATCATTAATCAACCCAACCTGCAGACACTGAGTGTCATCACATAAACTGCATTTACTGAGTAAACCCAAGTAGATCTTGAATTATTACATCGAGAAATGTATCTTCTAAGATGAGCCTAGAAAGCAATAAACCCAAAACGGAGAACAGGAGCGGGTGGGGAAATAATCTTCACACCTCACACATTAAAACACTAAGTGAAATATCTAACCTGGATACAAAGCCAATCAGCTTCAGATGCTCAGAAGGACTGGAAGGCATTGGATTCAGCAAGTCTCTGATCCGCACTGATCCAGCAATTCCGATCCCAACCACCACTGCACCAAACATTTTGTTAGCCTGAAAGAAAACAAAAATAGATAATCAGTCTAGAAAAAATGTACTCGATTAATATGGATCCCTCCCCCTCCATTATACACCCACACTTTAGCATCCAGGCAGCTAGCCAAAACCAGCCTGATATTGCATAGTGCTAAGTGAACTCATAGCCTATTGAAGTCAATGGGATTTGAAGATGATCTACACCTCATAGGATTGGGCCTTAAGACTGACACAGAGTATGTCAGATCCACAGGACAAGGCTTTTCTTTCCCCCAAAATCGATAGGCAAATCTCAGAAAGGAGAGGGATCTTTGAATTATATAGCACCTTTTGCTCAGAACAATCCCTTTAAAAAAAAAGGTAACGTCTGACATACATACTAGATACCGTGTTCATTCCCTGAGCCTCTGCAATGCAACCCTCTCTGGACTGATACAGAGAAACTAACAGTGCACAGAAGTATTTCACAAAAACTTTAGGACAGGGAGTGAAGAACTCCCTTTTCCTGTTGAAACTTGTGGAGAATTTCAGGGATGCAAAATTGTAAGGACCCAATTTATAATTTGCCTGGAATACTGGGGTGACATCTCCATTCCTGTGAAAAGCACGATAAGCTCTTTACTGACAAGTCATTACCTCATTTTTCCCTCTCACTGAAAACACAGCACTTTTAATGGCAGTATCCCCTCAAATCATAAATGAACATTAGCATGGTCCAATGTGGTTTAGTGGTAGGGTGCTGAACTAGGAATAGAGGGAGATCAGCTCTGTCCTCTGCTTTGCCTTTGACTCACCCTGATGATTTAGCCATTGAGTGGCTGAGTATTCCCCCTGGGGATAATGATTATTTGCCCTGTGTGCTCCTTCTTTCTATTACATCACTCTATTTTCTCCCCTCAGCCTCTTTGCCTTGGTGCAGTAAGGTCTGTTCATTGGTTCTGCTATAATGATTACTTCCCTTTAAATCCTTCCTAAAAACCTCATCTTTTCTCAATGACTCTTGTCTGATAGCATCACTGCACAGCACCGCTGCATTTGCTAACTCCACTGACAATGCTAGAGGTCAACAGCTACTAAGAAATTCATTCAACTGGCAATAAAGATTCTCATGCTGTCTATGTTGCATCTGGGTTTCACGCCTCTATTTATGTCTTGCTGTCACTGCCAATATGGCTCATTTCATGTTTACTGCTGCCTGTACAGCACAATCCTGTGAAAGGCTCCAACATATCTTGCTATCTTGCTTTAATGTAACACAAGAAATGACTGATCCTGGAAGAGTCTCCACTAGAATCACAGCAATGTGCTGTTACCAGAGGGTGTCATGTGATGAACTAGCGCAAATTGTCAGGGAACAAAGATGTTGCTGAGACTTAATTTTACTTGGCTGTAGAGAGGAGGTCAGAAAGATCATCACCAGCACAATTTATTTGAAATGCCCTCTGAATTAGGGATGCCAACGTGTAGATGACTACACGATTAACCAAAAAGCCTAGGCTTATCGGTTAATCCTGTCAATTACACGCATTCCTCTGATTCCTCTATATCAGAGGCAGCAAAGTGGGCGGGGGGGCGGGGGGAGGCAGAAGCCAGTGCCTGTGGAGAGCTGGCTTTAAGCAGGCTCCCCATGAGCACAAGATCCCCCTGCCCTCCCCACTCCTGCGCTGCTGCCTCTGATAGAGAAACAGCAGCACAGAGAGTGAGGGGGGCAGGAGAGAGTCAATCCATGATGCAAGGAGCTGGCTTTTAAGTGGTTCTCTGCACATACCACCTTGCCCCCCTCCCCCCCCGCTGCTTTCCACAGAGGAAGCGGGGGGACGTGGCGGGAGGCAGGAGCTGGTGCTGGAGGGAGCTGGCTTAAAAGCTGGTTCCACCCAGCACTGGCTCTGCAAACCCATCTGCCCCCCCCCCCCGAGGCAGCAGTGCAGGGAAGGATTCTGTGTGAAAGCCTCTGTCCACAGCGGGCCTGGGCTTGCTATGAACAAAACTACTCTGTGGCAATAGCCCCTGTCCACGGGGGAACTCGGACCACCTACGGATGGGGGCTACTGCCACCCTGTGCTGCTGCCTCTGATTCAGAAGCAGCAGTGTGAGGCAGCAGGAGGAGCTGGTCTATGCATGTAGCTGGTTTTGAAACCAGCTCTGCTTGTGGACAGGCTCCTGCCTGCCACCTCGTGCTGCTGCTTCTGAGAGAGAGGAGCAGTGCAGGGTAGCAGGGGGTGCCCCGGAAGTGGGGTCAGAGTGCCATGACTGCCAACCCCACTCGCAGGGACTACTGAATGGTAGTGTAACCAATAATAATTTGTGTGGTTACACGCTATCTAACATCCTTACTCTGGGCCTGATTTGCATTTACACTGATGCTCCTATAAGGGTACTTTCTATTGCCAGAGCCATGTACTGTGGGTGTAAATTACACTTACGCTTGAAGGACAGTGCCAGCTAGCCTCAAGTCTTGTGATAGAGTAGCTAGGGGATCACCACGTACCATTTCAGTTGATGATACTTTGCCCAGAAAACCTACAATATGCCCTGTGATAGAGTATATGCCAAGCCTAGAGACCACAGCAACACCCACAAATTGATGAACAGTGTGGAATTATGCCTTACTGATATGGCATAACAGAATTTTTCTTTAGCTGATTTCTCACAAAAAAATATACAGTGTGGAATTATGCCTTACTGATATGACATAAGAGAATTTTTCTTTAGCTGATTTCTCAAAAAAAAAAAAAAAAATTTGCAAGTTATGGACCAAATTGGAAGCTTCTGCAGTGTATCAATGTAGCCACAGAGTACCCCCTACATACAGTGCAGGTGGTCACGGCTAACCATCCTTGCAATCAATGTTCTCTCTAATCTTTTCCATACACGTGCAGAAAAATTTTTACGTGTACCAAGGCATGGGCAAATGTGCTCTACCCCCAGAAACACAAAACCTAGCTGTGGCTGCTCTGTTAATCAGTTGGGCACATTTGAATTCCGCCTGAGTGGCCGCAGAAGAATGCAGCTGACAGGGAGCACCGCTTGCAATGATGGCAGAATTCTAGTCACAGACGAGCTGGTGAAGAGCTTGGGTAGGATGTGTCCATGTAGTTTTGGGAGCGGCTTTTAAGGCAATGTATGTCCTTGGCTGCTAATATGTTTTACTGCTTTCAGGTATCTCCGGTAGGATGTGTCCATGTAGTTTTGGGAGTGGCTTTTAAGGCAATGTATGTTCTTGGCTGCTAATACATTTTACTGCTTTCCGGTATCTCCAATCTCAGTTATATCTGTAAGCAGGAATACAGCTCCAACAGTTGCTAAGCTCTTCTGAAAGTTCTGTAGGCCTCTCACTTCCAAGCATTGCCTTTCCCTCACTAGCTGTTAAATTATATTTCCATCCAAAAGGGAACAGTGGGAAGGAGCTGAGCCTCTTCTTCCACTGCCAGAAAAAAAATACTATTTTTCCAACAGATGCATAGGATATTGCATATGAAATCCATAGCTACCCTTTGAAAACCTTCTCAAATTTTGCCCCATGTAAAATTAATGACCTCCCAAAGAAGACACGTTTGGCAGAGGCAAGAAAGACGCATGTAAGCCTGTAATAAATCCAGTTACTAAGCAACCTGTTGTCATAGCAACTAGCCATTCAGAGGAGGTTCATGGCTCTTTAGGGCTTTGAGATGTTCTCTTTAACCTCTCGTCTTCACCCAGAAATTAACAGGCAGTCGATGTAGACTGCAGAGGCTTCACTTATTTGTAGATAAAGGGAACCAATAAGCGAGCATTATTACTGTTTGTATTTTATTCCTCTCAGGCCATTCACACACCAGGTCTTGAAACTATTCAACAACAAAGACAGATAAATCTGATGTTATTGTGGTTGCCATGCATCTTTGAGGGCAGAGATCAGTTCAGACCATTATTTCTGTGATGAATTTTGTACTGCTTTTCCTAAAGAAACAGGCACTGAAAATACAAAATGGTAAATACCTCACAATCTATCTATTTTCAAACACTGCCCCCTTCATGGGATTGCCAACAGAATTACACGGTTTTACAACTTGTTAAAGCTGCAAGGCCACATAATGCTACATAAACATAACATATTAATGGCGGAGGGGAAACTGTTAAAATAGAAGACATCCATAAATAGGGAAGAAAGGAAAGAGGCTTAGGTAGAATGCAGGTCTGGCATTCTTTGGCCATCTCCACATTTTTGATGCTAAGGTCTCTAGAAATGTGGTCCACTCTTCTCCTTTTTGAAAACCATTCCCTCAGCAATCAGTGCAGCTCTCAAGAACCAAAGTATATGGGGCAGAGTTAAACCCAGTTTAGCAGGTAAATGTCCTAGCATCTAACTTTTCAGCTGCAGTTTGACTGCTGAAGCTGAGCAGTTTAAACTCATGTCCACCTCTATTCACAGTTCCCTGACTGATGAAATGCCTGTCTCAAAGAATTCTTCTTCATTAGCAACTAATGGAATTCCTCTTCATTAACAAAATATACATAGCAGACATGGGCCTGGGAAGTTTATGAAGTTTATGGGCCTGGGGAGTTTAAAATATACATAGCAGACATGGGCCTGGGGAGTTTATGAAGCATTTCTGATGCTCCCAGTAGTTTGGGAGCCCAGGACAACCAGACCATACCGGTATGTTAGCAAGCTGTGTAACAGTAAGGACTGCAACACCACTAAGGGTGGCAAATCATTAGAAAAGGGAAAAAGCCCTCATGACTGACTGGGAAATCCATATAATCCCCCTGCTCAGATAGTTTTACCCCGTTACAGATTTGGTCCCAATTTGCAAGTCTGAGTTGCCTCCAATAGTTGCAAGGATAAAATTGTTACCTCTTAGTCAGGACAGCTCAGATACCTTAGCATAACTGCCCCAATAGGTACCTTGTTCTTCTCCATCCAACAAAGAAGAATGGAGGGCACACCAATGGACAAGTGGATACATTAACATGCATTACATTTTCATCAATGTGAGCATAAGTGTGTTAGACATCTGTGACCTGATAAAAGTCTA